GTAGGGAAAAAATGTTTCCAGTTAGGATAACACTGTGATGGATTTAATGTTGAGTAAGCATGAATAATATTTCCATCAAAAGAGAGGATTTCCACAGACTGACTTTAAAGAAGCACAAGCAGCAGCATCACATTAATCACACAATGCAGAAGTTATTACAAATGAAAACTAGGCAATGTTTGAAGCGCACTGAGAGACCCTGTTTTGCTAGGTCTCCAGTAGGTCTGGGAAACACAGTTCTGCTTTGTGCGGGAAAGATGTTGTCCAGGAAATGCTTTTCATGTTTTAAAAACTACACTCAAGGATTTTTATAACATCGATAAAAGGGAACTGCTACTCACAGAGAAAGCTATTCCTCTGCATAAAGCATTTATTTCAGCTAATAGGTGGTTTATTAGACAGGTCTGAGCAAGTTAGTGTATTTGCTGTGGCAGCAATGGAAACAGTTTTGAAAAAAAATCATGAAGTTCAAACAGAGTAAAAGCATCTGCACACTGGTAAAAACAGGAAGTCTGTAAACCCCTATAACCCAGGATGCTATTTTATATAGCATGATAATAGAAAACACGATACCACACTTGTTTAAAAAAGAAAAAAGCCAACAAACAAGTGTGTGTTTGTTATCTACCACCCCAATAGCAAAGTTGATTGTTTGCGCAAGTGATCAGCAGATCCAGGGGCAGTGAGTAAATTTCTCAAGTGAGGCAGACAAACGGAGTCTATGTTAAAGCTCTGAGAAAAGTTTTTGAAAAAGTTTAATTTTGGATCCTTCACTGCGGACGGTCTCAGTGGTAACAAAATGCTCTTCTGCCCAATTTTTAGGAAATCACAAGTGACCTGGTTTGTAGACTTCAAAGAAAAACCAGAGCCTCTCTACGAACATGATCCATGGGGTATCTATTTGGGGTAGCTCTTCTCTCCCACAGATTAAAAAAGAGTTTGGGATTTAAGCTGGTCCTAACCTGCAGGCTCAGCCCTGCTCCCCTCCCCCCCAGCACACGGGGCTGTCACTGCCGCTAAAGCCGGGAGCTCGGAGCTGGGCTCTGGGTACGTGGGTCAGCCAAGGGAAGGAAGTGACACAGGCAGGAAAAAAGAGCAGATCGAGGGAAAGACTCGATGCAGCTGGGCCTGCAGCGAGCATTTCGTCTGGGCCTGCCACACACCATCCAGCCCAAACACCGCTCCCCCTCCGCTTCCCAGATATATACATATTTCTTGGTATTGGAAGCAAGTATCTGTATTTTAACCGCTGCCAAGGAGCTCTCGGTAGGGAAATAAACCTCAGCTGTAGCCCCTTCTGCAAGGGCCAGAGAATCACCCTCAGTGAGCTTCAGCTGCACCAACGGAGTTACGACAAACAGCGATACCGAGCTCTTAGCGTTAACCATCCCAGGCATCTTTCAGAGTAGTCAATGAAA